ACACTCTGCATATATCACAGCTGCTGTTAGCTCCTCGAAGGTCGGTAAATATCTCTGAGTTCTGTTTCAGGCAAATGGGTATTTGCAAACTAAAGGTGTCTGAGAATGGGAAAGATCTGTTAGAAATACATGCCCAGCATGTTAGAGACCAGCTAAGGCTGCCTTTTTGTTACCTGATCCTTTGCTGGGGAAGAAGGAGCTTCCTGCAATCTTTCTGCAGACCCAGGAATTCAGAGATTCTGAAAAGGCAGCAGCAAATATAACCACGTACCTATGCACATCTGGATGGCCCAGGGTAATTTAGCTCAGGTGGCTGATTGTAGGCAAATTAACTCTTGTTCCAGTTGGACATCATTGTGCACAAGTCTTATCAATCAGGGTGCACCACAGCCCTGTTCTTATCGTTGTCCTTTGTGTTGATATTCATGGTGTCCTGGTCCACATGGCTGCTTGTGATATAATAAAATCGATGAGAGAGTTTGAAGAGGTTAAATATTCTACATCATTCATCTGTGCCAAAAAAGGCTTACGAGTGAAGAGACAACTTTAGATTTAACTTAGCTGTGTTTTACAGACCTTTCTACAGTCTGGTCTCTGTGTTGTTTCTGCTACATCACTGCTCAGTCTTTCAGGTTGCATTCATCTTCAGTGAAATGCGAACAACTGTGAGTTTTGTCATTTTTTTTTTTAATCTGGTGGCTCTATGGAGTGACAAGATACTTAATTGTCCTGCTCTAACTGAACTGCTTGCCAAGCCCATATCCCAAAGGTGAGGGAAGGGAGAAATCATTACTGCACAAAATTAAGGCAGCGGTGATGGAAATATCACATTATTATTTTTGAATTACAAGGTAGTGTAATGCTGCTGTTGACAAGGACATCATAATCTCTTCTGCAAACAGGTTTTGTCAGGGATTTGTAACTCTGAAGAAATTTGTCTAGGCCTGAAACTTGGCATCATCTCGTTTAACCAAGTACTAATTTGTTGTCATACATACTTTAAAGCCCTTCAAGTGCAGTGAGTATTGGGTTCCATGATAAGCACAGCTACTGGCCCTTTAAACAGGTGACATTAGGTCAATTTTGGGGTGTTTTCCTAGGCACAAAAAGATTATGAAGGCTTAGAGGAAAATCACTCTATAGAAGATACTGAGAAGAAAATAAAAATTAAAGACTCCTGCAAAATGAAATGAGCCAACAACCCTGGAATTTTGGATTTATGACTGTACTAAGAGGCCACAATGCCTTTAGAAGAATTCCTGGGTGCATTTTGCCTTTTCAGTGCTGAGCACTAAGTGTCCTGAGAAGGGCCGGCTGTGAGCAGCCCATTAACACTTGCCACACTGCCTGCTAATTGTCTCAGCTATTTATGGGCTGCATTTAACAACTGCAGCACCAGTCATAATTTACAGTAGTACATTCATATTGCTTTTTCCTTGTTGGTTTCATAAAATGTTCACGTAAACTCGCCTTTCTGTTATGGAGGTATTGGGGGGTGGCAGCACCGTTAATGAAGATCATATTCTGTAGTTTCCAGAAGCTTTGCTAATAAGGGATTGAAGCAGGGAAAGTTGTCAAGAAAAGAAGTTTCTGGTGGTTCCATAACAAGATGTTCCTATCAGGCAGGATGTAAATGTGTTATTTTTAAGGTCAAAGCACAGGCAGAGAGTTTTGAAATGGGCTCGTTAAGGCAATAACGATCTGATAAAGCTGAGTCTCCTGATTTCTTGTGTACAATTAATTGAAAGGCTATTTAGCTTTGGTTTGATACCTCTCTATAAACATTCTCCCCACAAATCAGTGGAAGTATAGAAATGTACATCAGCTTTATTGGTCATCAGCTTGGCTCTGTCCAGTATTCTAGAGTTTATGATCCCCTTTGCTGTCCCTATAGAGTGGCTTTAAAGCTCACTTGGTGCATATTCAGACTTCTGGCATTTTGAGTTGCTCTTTTATCTTTATAATAAAACATGTATTTAACAACAATTAAATGTTGAAACAGCTTGCTGGCAGATGGGGTGGATTTTCTATCTCCTGAAGTTTTCAAAAATGTCTTTCAAAAATATGTTCATTTTATGGTCTGTGTTATAGAGAAGACTGAACTAGAGTATTGTAGTGTTTTTTCTTGACTTCATTTTTTTTCTGTATTTCTCTTGTCTTTTTTTTTTCTTTTCACAATTCACTATTACTGTGAAGTGTTTTCTTTCTTCTTCCAATACCAAGCCAAAACTACATTTAATACATAATGTTGAAGTCATACCTACTTCCTTAACCAGCTACATACCAAATACTAAGTGAAACAGATACAGGTGATAGAGATTTCACGGCACAAATGATCTGTGCCTTGAGAACCAGGATACCTCTGTAAAATAACTTTTGGAATAGTTAAATGCAGTGATCTCAGATACTTCAAGGTAAGTTGTGCTGTGTCCTTAGACTGAAACGATGAGCTTAGAAATATTAATGGAAAAAGTGAAGTTAACAACTGCAGCTCCTCTTTTATTCTTTGCATTCTTTAACTAAAAGAAATGTGTTGCTAGTAAGATCCCATACTCCAAAGACTGGTCTCAAATATAAAACTGGATTGAATATTGATTTTTATTTTAGGTCATTTAGCCACTTGCTTGTTTGTTGGTGGTTTTGGGTTTCTTTTTTTCTTTTTTTTTTTTCCCCTGAAGTGAGGAAACTGGTTAAGGTGCCAAACTGAATTGCTGAGATGTTAAGCTGTGGAATGGGGTTACTGCTCATCTGCATAATAACCATTAATAACCATTTCAAGAAATTTCATATGAATTTTTATTATGCATTTATATGTAGATTTAAATAATCTTTATTAATATGCTCTATTGAACAATAGCACACTTTTAAAAACTATCATAAATACGGAAAAGAACTTAACTACCACAGATAGGCAATGGTCAACATTTGTAATCTCAGCAAGATTAATATTTGCCATGAAACTGCATCTGAAAAACTGCCTAAATTCTTGTTTATGGCTAGTACTGTAGTAATCTGCCAAGGGTTTATTTAAGTGGCTAAAAGAGTTTGTTAAATGACTTCAGGAATTGTAGAGCCAAAATTATGTGTTTATGAAATGCAGTGATGATTTGCTTTGCTTTGAAGGACAAAACATCAGTCTTTAATAAAAAGCAATATGAAGAGGAGCTGGAAAGATGAGGTACTTGGGCAGTTGATATTACCTAGCAGTGATCTCTGTCACTGATGGTTTGCAAATTAATCCTTCCACTAACAGAAGAGGAGACAGAGTGAAAGAGTAGATAAATAGCTTGGAAATTAGTTTTCTCGATTTTCCAGAGAATATTAATGGTTTGATATCCAGTTGGTGCTTGGCAGGAAACTCAGTGCAGCAGGCATCGTTTTTGGAGCTGGCATTATTAAATATCTTCCTGAAACAACCTGAGGATGGAGATGCAGAGGGATCCTTCACAAACCTGAGGGCTGGGCTGACAAAGTCCACAGAGGGCAACCACAGCAGCTTTGCAGCTGTCTGACTTTGCAGCCATTTGTGGACTCTGCTGGAATTTAGAGACTAAATTTGCAGTTGTTATTTAAATAAATAATGCAGGCTTTCACACTAATTTAAGAGGCTTTAGTTCAGCTCACTCTAAACTCTGGAAGAATTTGGATTGCAGGGGGAGAATTGATTTGCAAAGGGACTGGAATGGTGACTTGGAAGGTGTGGGCTCTCCTGGCTGTTCCCAGGCTGTCTGACAGTTATAGGTGTGGGATATTTATATGGCTGTAGGGGGAAAACAGGAACTGTAAATTGGTATTGTATAGAGGCACACAGCCTTTCAGGGGACAATAGGCTGTTTCATTATATTGGAGCTTACAAGCAGTTTGCACTCTTCAGAGAGCTTCAAAAAGCTGAATTTCACTTTGCCATTACAGTGGGTTCCTCTATTATGTGCTAATGTTATTTGGAGGTGAGTCTTGGAGAGTGAAAAATGCCTTAAAACATAAAGATGAAGTGGTAATGTAGTGTTATAGGTGTCAGTCTAGTGCTCATCACTATGAGAGGTTTCATATCTTTATCTTAATTTTATTCTAATTGAGAAGTGAGTCTGATGTTTGAAAAGTCCTAAATTAGAGATGCTTGTGTGTTGGAATGGCTATTGTGAGAGTGTGGGTGAAAAGGCACTCTGCTGTTGCAGTCTGTCAAAAATGATTTGTTGAAAATTGACTTTGAGTGTTTGTATTGGAGGTCAGAGTTCTCATTAGAGGGCTTCTACTTCCATAGAAATATCTAGAAGTGCCACAGTTATGCCTTGCTATTAAAATAACGATTTTGTTACAAATACTTACCTGGCAGTGCTTTTGATTCGTTAAAATGAGAAAAATAAGTGGAGCAAAACAGCTGGAACAATTTCTAAGTAAATTCATCAGTCATTCTGGAACTATGCATTTAAAATACCTATAAATAATAGAATGCTCCATCTAAATGGAAGCCTTTTATTGATATGTAAGTACAGTGTCACCCTGAAGTTTCTTTTTTAATTTATCATTTCCTTGTGCTTAGAAACAGATCAGGCAATTCATATTATTTCCAGCTTTTCAACTTTATTTTAGCAGCATTATTTTGTATGGTATGTGAAATGAAATTGTTGCACACAGTTGTTAAGCTTTAAAATTACTTTCAGGTAACAAATAATTGTTTTGGAAACTCTGAGCCTTCGTTCAATTTTTTAATATTATCTCGAGGACTGACAAAATAATTGGATAATTTCAGCGGTTTGCCATTGGCACTTTTAAATTCCTTTTATTCATATTCTTACAATATATTTCCCATGATGATGTTCATGGGACTGCTGATCCTACAAAAAACAGGACAATGGAAACGGGGAGAGTGAAATGCTGAGAACCCAGTTTTTGGCCTTTATCGTCTGTTTACTTCTCTCAGGTTTCCAAAGCGTAAATAAATCGTTGATGTGCGCATATAGAAACAAACATTCAGAGTTTTAAAAATTTTGTCTTAATAGATAAAAAGATGGCCTATCACAAAGTGAATGCAGACCAGAGGGCACAGGGGCACTCTCCATACCTCGACAGTGACGAGCTCCAGGGCACGGCGCTGGAGCTGGAGTGGGACATGGAGAAGGAGCTGGAGGAGCCTGGCTTTGACCATTTCCGACTGGACAGCACAGCCCAGCCCCACCTGGGGAACTCCCAGAGCCCTGACCTCGACCTGGAGCCCATCCAGCCCTCCTCTTCTCCCAAGGGAAGATTCCAGAGGCTTCAGGAAGACCCCGACTACGTCTCCCACTACACGAGACAGGCACCAAAGAGCCACCGCTGCAGCTTTTTTCGGATACTGAAAGTATTTTGCACTGCTTCGATTTTATTTATTTTTGGAATTGTGATAGGATATTATGCACGCAAGAAATGCCCTTCTCCCCCAGCATCTCCAGAGCCAAATAATCCTCATATCTACCATGAAATTCTCAAGGAAATCAAAGCTGAAAATATTCAACGGATTTACAGGTATGTACCTTGGCAGGTTTTTGGTCTAAATGCTCTCAGGTGCCGCTGTTAAGTCTTCACCTGATATTTTTTAATGGGGAATTTTATTTACAAACCCTGACTTCTTATTTTTTATGTTCAGTTTTATCAGGACGCTTGGGAGATGTTCATCAGCGTATACAAAATTCATTTTTTAATAATGCAAATTTGTGCTAATCATAATAGGTTTTGCTTTAATAATGTTCTATTGCTAAATATATTATTATCTTTAATGTAAATGAATTGAAAGACACAGATAATTCAAATTGAATTGAAATATAGACAATAGAACAGCTGTCCTAGATCCAGCTGACTGCCAAATAACACAATTGAAAAGCAAGGTTGATATGATGTTTTGTAATATTTTGTGCTTTAAAAAAATCCCCATTTTATTTTTGGCACAAAAGTGATCTCTAACTGATGTTTTTACTCTGCATGGTAAATTAAACCTTTACTCTATATGGGTTTGGGATGGAAAATTTGAGCTCTGCACTCTGAGAGACGGCAATTTGTTTATTTTTTATTCTTTATTACTTGTGGGGATTTTTTTTATGTAATTTTTTGTAAAATACCTGGGTTTGACTGGGTTTGATTTTATTCTTTTTTCCAAAGTGGAATCCTTTCACTGCTTTGACAGTCTATATAACATGTTTGTATCAGAGTATAATCACTTTTCTGTAGCAGTGCGTGTGGAAGAAAACAGGTTTTCCTGCCAACTTTTGAAAGTTACTTCTATATAGGGAGGGGAGATGATCTTATTTTTGGCTTCTGGAATGAAAAGTTCCTTTTTCACATTGAAGGTAATGCATTGTAGATTTTCTGATCAGTATCAGTTCAGAATCAGCAGAACTCCCATACCTGAAGTTAGAAAAGATTGTTGTCATGGTCATCCAAAGAGGTGTTACTGAGTAGATCAGAAACACATCAAAAGTAGCCACAGGGGTGTTGTAACAATATTTGTGTTTTATTATATTTGCTATGCCAAATCTTAGATCCTGTAGTGGGTAATACCATGTTTTGAACCAACACTGTTCCTAAATTCAAGAGAAAAAATAAATATGAAGGGTTTCATGTCAGTTTTCATGTACTGAACTGCTTCTACTTCATATAAATCTAATTATTTTCATAATGGGAAAAGGTACAGGTCATGAAAAATATTGATTTTTAATGTAAAAAGATAACTTTTTTGTCTTTCAGAGAGTAAATAGAACTGAGTTCTGTAATTAGGCTTCATCACTACCAAAGTGTTGGAGTAAGCTTAGCCCTAAGATTGGGTATCACACAAATTGCAGCAAATTGCTGACATGACTGTCAGACTCAGAATAACACTTCAGTACTTTGTGTTTGGGGACTGGGAATCACTTGCCATTCTGTTATTTCAAAGTGTGGTTTAAAACCATCCCTTTTCAAACTCTTCATCACTCGTCATATGATTTCACCTTGCTATTAGGATACCAGTGAGAATCTGGATTTTAGGCAAAATGAATTGTATAAATACTTTGAAATTTAAAAAAACTTCAGTAGTTTTAATAACATAATTCTTAGTATTTGTTTGGGTTTTTTTTTCTATTTAATAGCATGATTTCAATAAAAGCAGTTGAACATTAATTCAGGTACCCATCGATTCTGTATATAAATATATAATTTATGCTTTTAGTATACTGCATTGCCCACAAGGTTTTTCCTAGCCCAGCATTTTGGTGTGAGACAGCTTTTATCCCATGTTGTGTTCAGTTGGTTTCCCTCAACATCTGTTTGGCAGGAGTCAGAGTGACTGCAGTGAAACCTGGGTGTGGGTAGGCCTAGGAGTACAGAACATGCAACATATGTTCCTTGAGTTAAAAAAAAAAAAAAAGCCCATACCTGACAAAATCAATATATGTTATTGGAAAACTTCCTCCACTAAAGTACCTTGAGTTACCAGGAATAAGTGGCAGCTGCTTAGCTTGCAATTTCTAAATGTTACTGAGCATGACATTAATTTAATTTTTCTTGTTTACTCCTTAGATCAGGCTCAGATGGTATGGGAGTTTGCTAACAGTCCTGTAAAGGAATTAGGAGGAAAAAAAACCTGTTTAAGAGTGAAATCTTCCGTGGAAGGCACTGTGTATTTGTTTACACCAAAAGATGTGCCATAGGCTCTTACCAGCACAGGTGCCAATCATAGTGCTGGAGGAGACATCACTCTAATGTGCTTGAAGGTCTGGGGTGGAACTTTCTGTTGGGGTGAAATCTGCTTGTGGTGGATGAAGCTTTGAGGATTTGACCTTTTGCACTTCTAAAGAGGTGGCAGAAGTGCTCCAGGGAACTTGTGTTGGTTTGGTTTGGACTGGATTCTGTGTGAGCTGAATGAAGCCTGTCTATTAATCCCTATTAGTAATGGAAGTGGTTGAGTCCCCATCCCTGGAGGGATTTAAAGAATGTGTAGATGTGACATTTAGGGACATGGTTTAGCATCTTGTCACTCAGCAGTGCTGGATTAATGGTTGGACTCAATCTTAGAAGTGTTTTCCAACCTAAACAATTCTGTGAGGATGTAGGACACCTGCAGCTTGTGTTCATGGGTTGCTGAATTGGGATATTCAGGTGTTCCTGTGTGGCTTCTCCACTGGCTGGGCTCCTCTTTTGTTTGTCCCATCCTGGCTGTCTACATCTCCCCAACTCCATGTTAAGGGGTTTTTTTTTTGTTTGTTTTTTGTTNCCCCCCAGCAGACATACTAGAAATCATTAGGTAAGAAAACTCAGTGTGTTGGCTTTTATTCCTCCAACTTTGCACCTTGTTTCCCATGAAATGGGAATGCTACAGAATTTCTGTGCAGTTTAGCACAGTTGTAATTACTGGTCTTGGCCAAGTTGCTTGATCAATGGTACAGCCTAAGTCAACATTAATACTGTGAAACTTTCTGAACAGCTCTCCCCACCCCCTGTAGGGAGGTGCTTGCATTGTTGACAATAAAATGTCAGTTCATTCCCGATGTTTCAGAGGTTTCAAGATGAGTTGTCAGAGGTACCTGAAGGGGAAAAGCAATTGCCACAAGAAAAAATAAAGTTTTTCCTCAGACTGCATTTTAAACTGGGACAAAAAAGAAAAAGGAGACCAATATTGTTAATAGGATTCAGTCGTAAATCAAACAGTTCAGGAGTGTGAATACTACATTTGTTCAGATATGTATTTTTAAAGATAAACAATCTGCTTCACAGTACAGGCAGATTCAGATCAGGTAAAATCACTCATTATTCTGCAAGCATCACTAGGCTGATGGGAATCCAGTAATTATATCTGTTTGTGCCATGAATATAACTTTCACAGTTTTCTTCTGGAAGATATATGACGAAATTGAAGCTCAAGTTAGGTGTAACTTGGCTCCAGAAGGTCTTCAGGACGAGTATGAAAAGGACATAAATCCCACATCCAAAAGGGGCAGAAATTGAAACATGGAATACTTTGAGCACTGCTTAAGTTTACATCCATAACCAGCAGAACTTACCAGGGCTAAGGAGATGAATAAAGGTGGTTAAATTGATAGGCAGAAAGCAAATTATCTCCTGGGACAGGTGGGTTGAGTTCTTGGAGCCCTTTTGGAGGGCATGGCTGGAGAGGAGTGACCTGTGCCTCAGGCCCTGTGCCATTCCCCTGGGAATGTCTGCAGCTCCAAAAACCATCATTGCACTGGGAAGGGCCCTGCTCTCCAAAGGGATTAATGCATTTACGTGTGGGAGGCTCTACAGTTTATAATAAATGCTGAAGGTCGTAAGAGGAAGACCTTCAAAAATACAGAAATTCCCACTGCCAATTTCAGTAAGCAGCATGCTGCTGAATTCTCAAACGTAAATTTGCGATGAAAATGTGCATAATTTTGAATGAGAACTGACTTGTTAAAGCTACTTTTTAAAATGACACTCAGATTTCTACTATCACCTAAGTGCTTTTGAAAATTCAGCCGTTTTTTATTTCTCATGCTGTATGATGTATATAAAGTTATTTCAATTTTATTGCTCCAAAATCAAATAAAAATTAATTCTATTTTATTTGGAAAATGTGGGGCTATTGTAATTTTTTAGGAGGTTGTAATGTTGGGGTTGGCTTCTGTAAATTAAATGGATAAACAAAGATTCATGTTGAATAGTAAGAATAAAAGAAATAGCCAGTCATGTTGATGTTAGTGATAACTCTGGCTGTGCATTATTTATCAGATTAGCTAATTGCTCTCATGTTTTTAAAATTCTTGTAGCTTTATTGAGCTTTACTCAATAATTACTTCGGAAAATTGTGCATCTTATTATCAGATGCACAAGTTTTTTTAGATACATCTTGTCATGATTATAAGTGTGATGGGGGCATAGAGAAAAGAATCTGCTTTGCTCTCCAGGCAGCCTACAGAGAAGCTCCTACATTTCAACTCTGCTCTTCATCCTGTGTATTCTCACTCTACTGCTTCCTTCACTATCATTTTTCCCTCCTCGAGCAATAGGGAGGTTTAAATCCCTTCATAATACATCCAGTTGGAACTAACTGTCCTTTATAGGCGTATCTGTTCCTTATTCCAGCTGGTGATATCACTTGCAGAATCTCCCAAATCCATCTCTGGCAAGAATTGATTTGTCACTGGTGCCTGCTGCTATCCATAACTTAAGCCTAATTCTTCAAAGGGCTTTGGCAGCAGCTGCTCTCCTGTGTGTCATGGCCAAGGAACAAAAGTGCCAGTGCAGTGAGAAAAGGACTTTTATTTGTTTTTTTTTTTTTTTTTTTTTCTCAAAGTGAAGGGAGAAGCTTCCATATCTAAGTGTTTCTTATTTCCTGATCAGTTGTAATCATTACTGTTAAATCCTTGGGGTTCAAACCTTTATCCCAGGTAAAGCCTATGAAAGACATACCTGAGGAACAAAGAGAGCCTGGAACTTCTTGGAAAATTGGAGTTTTGGAGATTTGGACTGAGTGAAATGTACAGACTGGTGCTTGGTGAATGGCCTTTGTGCCAGGA